TACAGTGGGATACCGGTCGGCTAGCCACTGCAAGATGGTGGCACTGCTCCTGAGCGTCCATTGGATGGTTCGATCCATACACCACAGCCTTATTGGACATGCGTTTCACTCATTGACTTTCTGTCTTTTGGGCTCCTTGGACTCATGCGATTCCATCTTGTTGAATCGGTCGTTCATGGAGGCTTCAAGCTTCTGGAACATCTGTGACATTGAACCAACTACCGATTGATGGCTTTCATGGACTGTTTTCTCTAAGCTTCCGATCTTGCCGTCAGTCTCCGATTGCGCTTTTTGCAGGGCTGCAACATTGCTACACGTGGTCTCAACCTTGGCATTCAAATTTTGGAGATTGGACCTGGTTTCGGTCAACTTATCCTCAATCAACGACTCAATGTGTGTTTTGAGTTCCGATTTGAGCTCATTGAATCTGGACGGCTGTGATTGATTCACAACAGGTGTTCCACCTGCACCTGACAATTGCGCACTCAGCGGAACTGGCAAGGCCTGGGCTGAGACGCCTGTCTTGGTTTTGGACACTGGAGTAATGACCACAAACGATCCATTCAATTTTACATGCATGGCTGGTGGGCTTCCACGCGCGGCAATTGACCAGGCATTAGGCCCAACAGGCTTGAGTGCCTTTGCGGATGTCCACCCAAGTGACTTGAGGGCTTGGGTGAGGCTGCTAGCTGTCGTGTGGGCTACCAAATGACGCAACGTCCAAAGTTCATCTCCTGGCTCATAGTTACCTTGCTCAGGCAACGGGCTTTCAGGGAAAACAGCACCTCGGACCTTATTGTAATGTTCGCGCCTGCAGCGCAGCATGAGACCCGAATTGGTGTCCACGAGACCAAGGACATTTGGTGTTCTTTGAGCCATGGCCAACAGTTCTTCTAAGCTTTTGTTTGGTACCTGAATGATTGTGAAAGCCTGATGAGGTCGACGATCATCACCTTTTGGCACAAGATACACACCATCACGGCCGGATTTCACCAGGACTTGGTCAACATGTTCTGCAAGAACACGGATGAATCCATGGGCATACTTTGCATCTGCGTGGGTGGCCACTGCACGAGGGCCTGTGTAGAACTTGATGGCCCAGGATGCGATGATCTGAGTGTTCTTCAAATCCTTGATGGTCTGACCCAGATACAACAATGGTGTTTTGACATCAGTCCACAGCTTGCATTCCGCACGCTGAATCCAGAATTCAATAACAATCGCATCTTGAACTTCAAGTTCAACATTGGCCACCGAATCCTTGGTGGAGATCGCCGGCTCCCCAAAATTGAAGAGACATCCTGGGATGAGAATTGGGTCCCCTTTGCCGTTGCGAGCAGGGAACATTTGGATTTCCTTTCCTTCAATAGGCTTGGAGCCAATAGCCACGATTGCCAATGGTTCGGGAGACAACTTGGCTTCTGGGCAATATGCACTGGCTTGGGACATATGCATCACAGCAACTCCTGTCTTGTCGGCACCAAATGCACTGGCGGGCAAAGGATGCACCTCCTGACCCTCTGCATGAAGGAAGGACATATCTACTGTGATATCCTGCATGTCAACCAACTTTCGCAAGGAGGCGTTGGAATCGGATTTCGACGTGCTTGCTGTGGAAGCTGTTTCACTTTTCTTGGCATCTTTTTTGTCTTGCTGGAACTTCTTGAGTTCTTCTGATGTGACAAGGCGCACCTGCAGGCTGTTTGCCAGGCTCTTGATGCTGCTCCATTGCTGTTGGTATGGCTCTGGAATAAACTATAAATTTGGATGGTGTAAGTGATCCGTGAGACTTAAACTTTGGAGGATTGGAGGGACATCTCCTATGTTGCCGCTACACATAAGTATGTTTTCATGCATCAATATGCAATAGTTTCTGCCACATACAATGCGTTTGCCCACCACTGCTGGCAAGACTGCTGGACAGCAGCCCGTTACCAACCACTGCTGGACAGCAGTCCGTGACTCACCAATGTGGAAATAAACACGGTGATACTACAACCAGGATGATGCCAACATGTTTATTGGTAGGGGAAACTCATGCTGATCTTTGCAAAGTTTTGAGATGTTTTTAGTTGGCGCATTTCCGCCAGAGATTTAGATTGATCAGATACAAATCAGGTACCTACCGCTGCTGGACAGCAGCCCCAGGCCCACCAATGTGGACATGAACAAAGTAATACTACAACCAGTAGAAACCAAGATGTTTATTGTAGGGGAAGCTGATGTTTTTAGTTAGTGTAACAAAATATATAATGCCACAACCAGTATGATACCAAGATGTTTATTGTAGGGGAAGCTCATGCTGATCTTTATATTGTTTTGAAACATTTTTAGTTGGTGGTTTTCCGCCAGAGGTTCAAATTAATGAGCTACAAATCAACTACCTGCCGCTGCTGGACAGCAGCCTCAGACCCACCAATGTGGAAATAAATATATATAATCTGATATAGCGATAGTGGTTTTACTTTCAAACAACAAAGCTACGAAGCCCTGTGGGTAAATGCGTCTCCAGCTCGACAGTTCCTGCTTCAGGTCGGTAGAAGTGACCCACGCGGGTGCTCAGCGAAGCCCTGTTGGTAAATGGGGGGCTCAGTGATGCCCAGGCCATCTCGGGTGCACAGCCCGTTTGAACCACACTAGCTTGCCGCGCTACGCGAAGTCTCAGTGCAGTCGCCGGCTTATCGCAGAGTGCCATGCCGTTGTGGCCTGGTCGGCCGAAGGTGCCGCTAGCATTGTTGACCACAACTGCCAGACCAAGCTGCTGGGCAATCCACTGGGCGTTGTTCTCATCGAGCACCAGTCTTCCATTGTGCTCTTCCATCAAGCACCAGTCTTCCATCGACCCAGTCAACGAAAATTGCTGGCCAGCAATGGTTCTTTCCTGCTGGGCAGCAGGAGCACAAGACCGACCGAACCCATGGCCTCTGTCAGCTTTAAGCGAACGAAAATTGCTGGCCAGCAATGGTTCTTTCCTGCTGGGCAGCAGGAGCACAAGACCGACCGAACCCATGGCCTCTGTCAGCTTTAAACGAGGGCCTCGGAAACAAGAAAGTTTGCAGAAGTCTGGAGTTTGAATTTCTTGGGAGGAAACTTTGATAAGCCAGGCACAAACAATGGCACTTCCCAAACGCAAAGCAAAGGTTGCCCACATGTTTTCCAGGCTTCAGCAGCTTGCTAAACACTCAGTCAGAAGGTAAAAGGGCATGATGCCTTGTCCATCAATTTCATCTGCCGAAACCGCGAAACTTCTGCCAAGCTTCTGCATCTTCCTGGCCCTAAAGATTTCCCCTTCGGCCTCCTTCATCCTTGGCTCTGCTTCGGGGCTCATGCGCCCCATCTTCGGAGGGTTCTTCTCCACCGCGGCTTCCTCAAACAGCTTCCTCGGCTTCCTTCACTTGCTTTTGGTTCTTCGAATCTCGAACAGCCTGCCAACACTTCAATCTGTATGCATCTATCATAGACTCATAGAGATGGATATAGATCAAATCTTTCATGCATGAAGTCATGAATATATATATAACGGACATGTTTACCCGCAAAAAAACTCTATACATATATACTTTATAAACATACAAGGGCTATATATATATATATATATTCATAAAAACTAATATATACTATATAGAAATAATATATATATATAAATTATATATATACACTATATATATACACTATATATATACACTATATATATATATACACTATATATATATACACTATATATATATACACACTATATATATATATATACACACTATATATATATACATTATATATATATAAGTATATTTAAATATAAAGGGAACAACGCCTTGCTTTCCAACAAGTTGCCTGCTGGACAGCAGGTTCACCAACACGACACACCCTGCTGGACAACAGGGAACAGCTGCTTGCTTTTCAGCAAGTTGCCTGCTGGACAGCAGGTTCATCGACACACCCTGCTGGACAGCAGGGAACAGCTCCTTGCTTTTCAGCAAGTTGCCTGCTGGACAGCAGATTCATCAACATTCGCCGCTGGACAGCAGGGAACAGCTCCTTGCTTTTCAGCAAGTTGCCTGCTGGACAGCAGGTTCATCGACACACCCTGCTGGACAGCAGGGAACAGCTCCTTAGTTCATCGACACACCCCGCTGGCCTGAAGTGATGTCTGGTCCTCGGCATTGCGAAAGGTGTGGTAACTCCCGAAGATCTGCTGGACTTTGGCGGCGTGAGCGTTGTTGAAGTCAACAAGTTTGAGCTGTTCGTGGAAGAGCTCCTCCATCTAGCCTGTTCTTGTCGATCTCCTCGTGCATGTAGCCTTCCAGCTTGCCATCCAACACCGCGCTGAACAACCACAAGAGCTTTCCTCCAGGTTTTTCAGCTTTCACCTTTGCAACTTTCAGCTTTTCAGCTTTTCCTTCCTTTTTTAAGCCCCTTCTCCACTGCCTCCTCCTCCTGCACAACCACCATCATCATCACCATCGGCTCGCTTGGGGTGATCTTGAACCAAATGTCATTGCAATTCATGGCCCAAGGTTATTTCCTGCTGACAATCAGTGTTTTTTCTTCCCTGCTGGACAGCAGCCTAGGAAATTAAAAGCGGCTGCTGGGCAGCAGCATGTATGAAGTACACCCAAGATTTGTTATGTAAATAGATAAATAGAGATTTAAATCTATAGATAGATAAATACATAGCAAGATACACCTCAAAAGTAAATTGGTCCCTGCTTAGTAGATCGGCACTGCTATTGCTCGCTGCTCTGAGATACGGGCCGGTGAAGGTGAAGGAGCCAGCCTGTCAAAGGTCTTGATCGTTTTTATTACTGTAAAGAAACCACTGCTGGACAGCAACCAGAGCAGAATTCACTTTGTTTTCTTCCCAGTTGCAGCGCAACAAGATTCAAAGATTGCTCCCACCGTACAGGTTCAGAGGCTGTTCCCGCAGGTCTCAATCATCTACAGACATATCTCCAACTTGGTTTTTTAAGGTTAAGAGTCATGACGTGAACAGCCCACTGCCTTCAAGTGGAGAGCCCAATGCCCAGAGCAGTTCTGGAACGATCCACGGTTGAAACCGTGCTCAAGAAACTTTTCAGGGTCATGGCATACTGATGATCTTTGAGGGCCTGATGCTGCTGTTTCTCACCTTCGCTCAGCAATGCCCAGGCTCTGCTCGAATTCTTTGGGTTTCGCACTTGAACCCTCAACCACACTGCGAGAGACGGCAAAATTTCCCAATCGCTGCCTCTCAACATCCACTTCAATGCAGCCGCGCTGCTCTGATGACTTTGGGAGAAATGGTCTGAGATGTAGATCTTCCTGGTCTGTCTGATTGCAGGCTCATAGCCTATACAGCAACCCACCTGACCACCAGATGAAAAGAACTGAGGTGAGCCAACGATGCTCCCCCGCATAGCTGCCAGCACCTGAATCTCTGGGGGCGGGCTTGCAATGTCAGGAACCACAAAAAGATCCACACTCTGCTCATGCTGATGCCTGCGCATGTGATGCTCTAACAGAATCTCGTTGATCTTCTCAGGATTGAAGCCGCAAGTTGGTTGAATCCAGCATGTGTGCCCAAACAAGTTGAAGTTCGGTCGGCTCATCTTCTCAGCCAAGCGCGCTTGTTCATTTTCGCGCTGCCGCTTTCGAACTGCAACTCTTTGCTGGCGCAACTGGCTCTGAGCTTCAAGCCCTTCGCATTCGTGCTCCAGAAGTTGGTTCTTCTCGAAAGCATCGATCTGCCTGTCGAGCTTCAATCCCTTTTGCCGCTGGGACTCAGCTTTGTGCTTCTCCGTCCAGCACTCACCAGCGACCTCAATCGCCATGTTGGCGACTTCTTCCACTGGTCGATGGCCAGAAGCTGCTCTTTTTCCAGCTGCCTTCCTTCTGGCCTGCAGCACTCGAGACAATGAAGGAACCTTCAACGATTGCTTTTTTTTGCTGTATCCTCGTAGCCTTCGTTTAGAGCATCGTGGTCTGCCATAAAGAGCTGTCCACACAGCAGCACTCTCCTTCAGCAGCTTCTTGTCATCACAGCCAGAAATCACAATCTGGAGGTGGTCCAGTTCATGTTGAACTGCAAGTGGGCGCTTGGCCACCAACCACTTGTCAACACTGAAATTTTGCTCCACGCCACTCGAGGAGCAAGTCCAGGCACCAAACGCCTGCAACAGAGGGCCAAGATGACTAATCGGGTATCGGTCCCGCGACCGCTTGGTCAGGACCACTGCAGCCTTCCAAGAATCAAAGTTGGACTTCCCGTGCCCGTGCTGTTCAGTAGCAATCCCAACTAGGTTTCGGAACTCGCATGCACAGGCAGCTGCATTCAGATGCAATGCCTGCCCGTCAGAGATTGAAAGAAATCTGAGACTGGATTGCTGGTCAAACCCCTTCTACGATTATATCATTACGATTTTTCCCATGAACCTCTCGGCACCATAAAAATCCAGGACTGCTGGCCAGCAGACTCTTTGGCAACCAAACACAAAAGAAGAACAAACAAACACAAACATACAAAAGTATGCTGATCATCAAATGAAGCATATTGATCTTCAAAATTCAGGACTAGCAGACTCTTTGGCAACACGGAGCACAAAAGAAGCACAAACAAACACAAACATAGTGAAGTATGTTGATCATCAGAACACAGGACTGCTGGTCAGCAGACCCTTTGCCAACAACAAGCACAAAAGGAACACAAACAAACACAAACATACAACAGTATGCTGATCATCCAGTGAAGCATATTGATCATCAAAACACAGGCTGACTGCTGGTCAGCAGACTCTTTGGCAACAACAACCTCAAGATAAACTCAAACAAACTGGACCCTTCTGGCCTTGCAAAGTCGATCCAGATCATCCTGAAATCCCTCGGCGGTATCTTGACGCCTTTGGCCTCCCAGTGCAAAGATCCGAAAGCTTCCCATTAGGTCAAATGACGGAAACTCAGTCTGCAGGACCTTCACACAAATTCCTGACCATGCTGCCATCTGCTGCCTGCACTGCTGCATCAGGTCGGCAGGCACTCCAGAGCCACTGCCAATTGTTTGTGGATCGCTGTTGGAGAACCAAGCATATTGCCTCTTCGCTTGTTGCAACATCAGATTTGTAAATCCACAGCCCATGCACTGACCTTTGACAAAGAGTGCGTCTATGCGATTCAAAAACGCTCCTACCTCTGAATGCAGCAAAGATATATCACAACGTTCGTGATCAAAAGCTCTCGCCAACAAAAGGCACTCATCCGAAGCATCGGCAAGCATCCCTGCAAGGAGAAGATTACCCAATCCATGGCGGCCACTGATGAAAGTCAAGAAACTCTTCGCTGCAGCATGCTTTCGCTCGTTCACAGCTTTCACAGCTGTCAAAACCACTGATGGGAAAGTGCACAGACAAATTGCAAAAGGCTTCGCAACACTGTCGAAGCGATGAGCAGCATACTGCATGTTCCTCTGCAATGTCAATTGTCCCTCTTGCTGCTGGAACTCTTCGAACCAACCTTGCAGGAGGGAGCTATATTGTATGGCACTGATCCAATCGGTGAATGTCTTGAAGACTTCCATGCACTGCTGAGAACATAGCCACGGCCTTTTGGCGACCCTTCGGCTTGCATGAGCCCTGTCACGATTGATGATGGTCAAGTTAGGCAACAATGGCCTCACGTCATCTGCAGCAATCTCAGAAGTCTTGGCCGCTAGCATCTCATCAGGAGCAGCATCACTGTTCCACACCCGGACAGCTCTGCAAATTTTGTCAAACAGACTTTGGTCAAAGGAATGGCCTGTCTTGGTGGCCGACTGCCCTGCTTCCACAGGAGCACCAATCAAGGAAGTAGCCGCCCTTGTGATCACTTCTTTCAGCTGCTGCAAAATCGCTCTATGTCCTGTGTCCTTGCTGCGGGTCATCCCAAGCACGCCAGACATCACCTCCAGATCTGGCGTCACTCCTGTGAAGCGAACCAACAACCTTGTTTCTGCAGCATCAATGGAGAGCGTCAAGCAAGATGCCTTGTCCAGGAAATTCCTTTGCCTAAACCGCAAAGCTTCTGCCAAGCAGTATTGCATCTTCCTGGCCTTGGCCCTAAAGATTTCCCCTTCGGCCTCCTTCACGCGCTCCATGAATCTTTTGGACCTCAAGGTATCCCAAAGAGCTTTCCACTGCACCAAAGATGGAGCGTCCTTTTCAAGATCGATGGTTGTCGCTCGTCCTGCCAAAATCTTTCCAGCTTCGGCGTGCTGAGGTGACTGCTGATGTCTCTTCAAATTGGCCTTTCGCAGCAGCCCCAACTCCATCGGCTTGAACTCCGCATAGGCACTAGTTGGGCCATGGGCCGCGCGGCAGATAATGCATCCGACCAATGGCGTATCAGAAGAGCAGCTAGCAAGCTTCAGCCAACTGAACTCCTTCATCAAACTGCTGCCCTTACTCTCCCAAAAGCACTGAGCGCAAGCTTGAGTGCCACGGCTGCAATGCTTCGTGGCGCGTGGATGCGCCGGAACTCGCCCAGCTTTCTTCATTGCACACTGCACTGAATTCGGACGTGCGAAATCTGCGCCTCCCATAAATTTTAATTTACTTTTTGCCACATATCTTAGTTGCTTGCAAGTTTTTGAATCTAAGCCAAGCTATCAAAGGCAATTGTGAAATGAAAAGCGCCATTTTGTACAAACATATCATTGATACTGTAAGTAAGTAAAAGCTATGAACCTTTACTATGATGATACATCTGACACCACACGTTTGCCATGGCCATGATTGAACCAGGGCTGCATCACACAAGCTTGGGTTCATGATTGCTGGCCAGCCACCCAACTCAACACCCAACACTGGTGGCTGCAGGCTGCTGATGGCCTGCTGCGGGCAAACAAGGGCAGCTTGTTTGCCACCAGACTTGAGGCAGGAAGTCTTGTTTTCGGGCCCTCCGTGCCTGCAGATCGAGGGTTCCGAAACGGGGTCTAGAACCCACGGGGTTCCAGCCCCCCCACGGGGATGATACAGATACATACATACATACATACATACATACATACATACATACATACATACATACATACATACATACACTGCTGCTCAGCAGGATGCAGATACAGATGCATACATTTACATGACATACATACACTGCTGCTCAGCAGGTTAATACATACACTGCTGCTCAGCAGGGTACAGATACAGATGCATACATTTACATGTACATACATACACTGCTGCTCAGCAGGGTACAGATACAGATACATACAGATACATACATACGTACATACATACACACATACATACATACGTACGTACGTACATACATACATACATACATACATATACATACACATACATACACATACATACACATACGTACACATACATACACATATACGTACACACATACGTACACACACATATACGTACACATATACGTACACACATACATACAACATACACACAACATACATACACATACATACACATACATACACATATACATACACATATACATACACATATACATACACATATACATACACATACACACATACATACATACATACATACATACATACATACATACATACACACACATACATACATACATACATACATACATACATACATATTTACATATTTACATACATACATACACACATACAGACATACATACATACATGCAGACAGACATACATACATACATACATACACACATACATACATACATACATACAGATACAGATACATACTTTTACATGTACATACATTTACATGTACATACATTTACATGTACATACATTTACATGTACTTACATTTACGTGTACATACATGTACATGTACATATACATACAGACATACAGACATACAGACATACAGACATACAGACATACAGAGATACAGACATACAGGCATACAGACATACAGACATACAGACACACAGACATACACAGATACAGACATACATACATACATACATACATACATACATACATTACATACATACATACAGACATACAGACATACATGCATACATGCAAACATGCATACATGCATACACGCATACATGCATACATGCATACATACATATATATATATATATACAGATGTACATACATACATACATGCATGCATACATACATACGTACATACATATATACATACATACAGATGTACATACATACATACATTCATACATACATACATACAAATATAATATATACGTTTACATACATTCACATGTACAAACACATACATACAAACACATACAAACACATACAAACACATACAAACACATACATACAAACACATACAAACACATACAAACACATACAAACACATACAAACACATACAAACACATACAAACACATACAAACACATACAAACACATACAAACACATACAAACACATACATACATACATACATACGTACGTACGTACATACATACGTACATACGTACGTACGTACATACGTACATACGTACATACGTACATACGTAACGTACTTACGTACATACATATCTACATATGAAGTATGATTGCTGGTCAGCAATTCAGCCATGGCTACGGCTGCTGGTCAGCAGCTTGTTACTAGAATTAGAAGTGATTGCTGGTCAGCAATCCTGCGTTTGCTGCTCTGCTGCTGTTGAGGCTAAGCAGTTTTGTCAATCACAACAAATTGTTCAATCAAAAACCACATATTCACTTTTCCTTCCCACCAAGTGTCGTGTTGTCAAGATAAGGTAGACTTAGAGTAGATGATGGTTCAGATACTGTATATAGATGTCCTGTGCAGCAAACATTGCCCATGGTTGCCAGGCCCAGCCAACCGAGCCTCCAGAAGATCAGGAGACTGTTGGGCCCCAAGCCTGCATGAGTGAGTCAGTGGTTTATTTGTTCTTTCCGCACTGCTGAGCAGCAGTAAGTGTGTAAGTCCACTGTTGACCAGCAGTAATAAAGAGCTTGCGCACTGCTGACCAGCAGTAATAAAGAGCTTGCGCGCTGCTGACCAGCAGAAAGCTGTTCCACTGCTGACCAGCAGTAATACAGAATTTGAGCACTGCTGAGCAGCAGTATAAGCTGTTTCTCCCCGCTGCCGTTGAGCGGATCTGTAATGTAGTATGATGTATATAGTACAGTAGGACAGCAACATATGAGTTTCAGAATGAACAAGTTGGACAAGAAGACCAGAACAAGAAACAAACAAACTACTGCATATAGAGAAGTTCAGTCGAAGCACATACACGCATAGCACATGTCACCACGTCGCACCACATCGCATCACATCCAACCACAGCTCATCGCATCACATCAAACCACAGCTCATCGCATCACTTCAAACCACAGCTGATCACATCACACCACACCACACCACATCACATCACATCACATCACATCACATAACTACACATAACATCACATCACACCGGAGCACATCACAAGTCGATCTTGACCATCATCGGCCATGGGAGGAGGAAAGGGAGATTGGAAAGTTAAAGCAGAAGATGATGGAGGAGATGGAAAAGGAGATGGAAAAGGGCAAAGGCAGTTGAGGCCGGGCATGGAGAACAGACAGTGGGGAAGATTGTTTACGATGCTCGACACAGCCCTCATGCAACTTCAGCTGGGCATTGGCATCAGCATCGAGCTTGCTGAAGCAAGCCTACAACAGCTGGCTGGCCAGCTCCATCACAACCAGCAACAAGTGCAAATACAGCAGCAACTGCAACAGATGCTCCAGCAGCAGCTGCAGCAGCAACAGACCCAGCAGCAGATGCATCAGCACCTACAGCAGCAGAGCCAGCAGCTGCTGCAGAGCCAGCAGCAGATGCAACAGCAGCTCCAGCAGCAGAACCAGCAGCTGCAGCAGCAGAACCAGCAGCTGCAGCAGCTGCAGCCAGGGCCGTTGCAGCCACAGCCACCACCACTGCCACGGCCCCCAGCTCAGCAGCAGCTGCACGAACAACAACAGCAACAGCTGCGCGAACAGCAACAGCTGCGCGAACAGCAGCACCAGCAGCAAAGGGCGCAGTGGGAAGCGCAGCAAAAAGCAGAGGCT